CTTCGTACGTGGAGACCTAGGGCAACGACTGATGATACGTGCCGCATTTCCTGTAATGAGGGCAAGTGATGCTACGATGTGCACGGCGTGTGTGTGGCGTACACTCAGCGCGCAGGTCATCCCAGTATACTCGTCTGAAATGTCGCATGATCCAGCAGCAGTGATTCAGGGGGGGGAAAAAAAAAAAAAAAATTTTTTTTCTCTCCTACAAACACGGCCTCGTCGACGGGCACGAGGCGCCGCCCCTGCTGCTCCTTGGCCATGTAGCCGCGCATCGTGTCCCACGGCACGAGCACGCGCGACTCGTCCATGACGTTGACGAACATGTCGAGGTCGGGAATGTGCGGCTCCATCTCGGCGACGAGCTTGGCCCACTGCCGCACGCGGTACGGCGGCTCCTCGCCCTCCGTGTCCGTGGCCGTCTTGCCGCCGCGCACGCGGATCATGAACGCCTGCCGCGCGGCGTGGCGGCGCATCTCGGCGGGGTCGACGGCCCAGAAGGGGTTGATGTCGTGGTGTATGCGGTCGAAGAACTCCTCGACGATGACGGCCTTGGAGGCCATGGCGGCGGCGAACCAGACGTCGAAGCCCGGCGGCGGGTGACGGCCGCGGCGTTCGCGGTAGCGTGAGGCGGCCTGGCGCAGGGTCAGGGATTGCTTGCCGAGAAGTTGGCGGTGACGCAGCTGGGCCTCTTCGATGAGCTCGTCGATGGGATGGGTGGTGTTGACGTCGTCCGTGTCGGTATTGCCGTTGGCGTCGGCGCCAGCCCAGTCGTTGCCATGTTGGCGCTGGCTTCCAAGGTCGGGAGGAACCAGGGCGTAGAGATACCCAGTTTCGCGATCCTGCAGCACGAGTAGAACGAGGATGAGAGAGAAGAGAATGGCGACCGCGGCCAGAATGGCCACTCGTGGTCGAAAGCCGCGTATCATGGCCGCCTGAGCAAAGACATTGCTCTGCAATGGGAAATGGCAGAAGCTAGGCGGAAAGGGGAGAGCGGGGGGAGGGAGGGGAAGAAGAAGGAGGAGATGCAAGAAGAGAAGGCGTCGGGACAGATCGAGCCAAATGTCGAAGGATCAAGGATCCAGCTTCCACCAAGCAAAGCCAAGCCAGATCCAGACCGCAATCTTGGAATCGTTGCATGCAGGAGGCGGGCGCCAGCTACACGTGTGTGGCGTTCCATTGGCCCTTTCATTTCCGATGTTGTCTTGGCAGAAATGTCGTGAGCTCACGGTCAGTGGGAGGTGAGCTCGGTGTGTCTTCGGTGAGCCTTTCTTCGCTCCTTCTCTCCTCCTCCTCTCCTGCCTCGTTCTTTCCTGCCTCGTTCTTTCCTGCCTCCTTCTCTCCTGACTCTTTCCTCTCCAGATTCCTTCCTCTCCTTCTCTTGCTGTGTCTGTCCTTCCTTTTTCTGTCTTTCCTCTTTCCTCTTCTTCCGTTTTTCTCTCCTCCTTCTTATGTCCTTGATCTCCGTCCTCTTTCCTCTTTCCTCTCCTTCCTCTAGGTCTCTATCCATCGACCTGTCTACCCATCCATCATCCGCTCTTCATATAAGGTACCTTAGCCCTGGTCACCACCCTGCTTCCGCGCGGATCCAGTCAAACGTGTCGAGCAGCTCAAAGTTGAAATCCACAGACGGCTGCAGATCCACGTCCCAAGGCGCCAGCCCCTGGACATCGCTGGCTGCGCCGGGCGGCTGGCCGACGCTCTGTTCCAGCACCCGGCGGATGACAACCTTGCAATCACGGCAGAGGTCGCCGTTGGGCGCCGACGGCGATACGCGGTCGAGGAACCCGACAAGCAGGAAGAGGTGCTCGATCATGGCGAACCGCGTCGGCAGCTGCAGCGTGTCATCAGCCGACGCCCTCGAGGCTGCCGTTTCGTCTCCGACGCTCGGCAGGCGCACGCTGGGCTTGAGGAGCTCCTGGCACAGAATGCCGCCCGAAGGAGCAGCATACGCCATGACGAGCCACTCAAAGTCGCCAATCATTAGCGAGAACCGATCCATGTGTGTCCAGAACTTAACAGTCAGCGACACCATGGCGAACGAGATGGCGACCAGCTCGGCTTGTCCGTCGTAGCCGCGCTGGATCAAGAGCCGCTGGATGAGGAAATGAGCTTGCAGATGTTCCAGCCGTATCACGTGGCGTGTGAAGACAATGGGCTGTTCGACTGCGTAGTCGATCAGGTTCTCTTTATCGTACTTGAGACCTCGGGGCAGCTCCGCCATCGTCTTGTCCTGACGGGCTTTCAGGGCCCTGGCGTCCATTGTTAGAAATGGGTGGAAGGCTCTCGAGGGCACAGTCGTGCGGCTCATGCGGCTTCTCAACTCACAGTAGTTCTTGAACGCTCGCCTGGCGATCATTCCCCAGGGCAATCTCGATTATCTCATCCTTCACCAGAGACAGCAGCGTTCTCGCCCGGACGACTGTCGCTGGGTACGGGCCGCCAGACGTGTTCCAGCCATTCTCATCGAGGGCCTCCATGGCCTTGACGATCGTCTCGTGACCTCCCATCAAGTCCTCGTTCCGAAGGTCCAGCGGCAGCGGCGTGCTGATGTAGCGGCGGCTCATCAGAGGTGGACGCCCCGTGAATATGGCCCCGACCTTGTCAATGGTCATGATGAGGCCGCACAGCCTGCGCCGCAGCTCGCCCGCGAGCGTCGGCACGTAAATATCTCTCGCCGTCTCGGCGTGTATGCCGAGGTACATGATGAGGCCGGCCGCCTCGCCGTGGTACCGCCACACCGAGGGGCTGGCGTCGCCGGCAATCATCGACTCGAGCACGGCGCGCTGGTACAAGACGTAGAGCAGGAGGATGTTGCCCTCGGACGCGCCGCGGCTGAGCTCGACGCAGAGATCGATGCACCGCTGCAGCGCCAACACCGAGCCCGCCACCTCAGTCCGGTCGCCGCTCTCCATGCGGAACGAGCGCTTGCTCCTGCCGCCGAACGCCCAGTACACAAACATGACACCCAAGGTGTCCCAGCGTAGGTTGCGGCCGGAAAACGACTGGATCCACGCATCGGAATCGGCCTCCTTGTCGCTGAGGCTGACCGAGGTGTTGCGCGAGAGGAGATGTGCCATGTCGATCAGATCTGTCTCTTTTCGGCTGTGGCCAAGGCAATGGCCGAACAGCTCGTAGAGGGAGAGCATGACGCGCTGCGTGACCTGACGAACCCAACAGTCGAGCACGGTGCAGCCGTCGTCGAACAAGCGGCGGGCCTCGGCGCGCGTGGGCACATGCCGGAGCACGGTCAAACATGTCTCGAGACTTCTGCGGGACAGCGTCGGCACCACAGGGATAGTCCGTGGTGTTATAGCTCGCGTCTCTGTCGGCGTCGTTTCTGACGCCAGACCACCGCGCAAGAGAGACAGACTTCGGTCCGTCTCGTCGTAAATGTCGCAGTAGCTCATGAACCCGAGATAACCCGGCCCCGGCAGCACCCTTCCGACATCCCGAGGACTCTCCGGCCTTGCGGCTTCTGGCCGCTCCGGCGACGGTTCCGGTCTTGCTGGGGCTGGCGGCGGCGGACGGGCGCCTGGAGGCGATGCGGATCTCCTTCGCAGGGCAGCTTGAGCGAGCGGGCTGCCGGTCCTGTGCATGCCTGCAGTCGCTGCCCGTGTGTCCACGATGTACTCACATTGACTGGCCCTTTTGCCTGCCTGGCATCTGCGGCAGACTGGATGCGTGTGGTCGCAGGCCACCTTGCGTCGCCGGCACGGCTCGCATGCCTGAGGCCGACCATTGGGTCTTCGCAGCACCGGCGTGTCGCCCGACATTGGTTTCAAGTCGTTCGCTGTTGGGAATCAGTCGAGTGATGACAAGAGCGCCATTACTCGAGTCCCGCGCCGAGATTGTGTGATTCGGCTTGGTCATCGATGAAGGAGACGTGACGTAGCCTGGGAACAAAGTCGGCTTCGCGCTCGGCTTGAAGCTGCTCGGCTTTGGTGGGCGGCTTACTATTCGGCTTGAAATTGCGGAGCAGCCGAGCTCCTTCCATCCAAGCCGAGCATTGGCGATTGGATGCAAATGGGGACCATCATGCGGCTCGGCTTTGATTGGTTTGCTAAATCTCACAATCTTGTGAAGGCGGTACCTGGGTTTTTGCAGGCAGCACCGCGCTTTCGGAAGTACTGGCTCCCAGAACTGCGAAACAACATTACTTCGTATCACGGCATCACGATGGGTCAGCACTCACTTTCTAAGCCGAAGCCGCTCTTCAGTATTTCTCAGCAAATTTCCATGCCGCCCCGCGTCTTAACTATGCTCATGCGATTATTTATATATTTGTATTTGCTGCGCAGAATGATGCTATTTTGTTCTACATCCAGCAGTACAGCATCATTCATTCGGAGCATTCAACACCTCACTTGGAAAGCCTCACCACCACTCACATCCTATCCCCTTCAACGAACGTTCTTATCAAATCCAACAAAGGTCCTGCCAAACATTCCTCGATCCAACCGCCACCATGTCGAACACGCAATATGTTTCCGCCATGTCCATCCCCGGCCTTGAGCGCGCCATGATGCCCAAGCTTGTCCACCAGACCAAGAAGCCCCAGTCCAAAGTGGTCACCAACCAGCCTGCCATGGCCTCCCAGTCAACCCTCGTCGGCCATGGCGATGCCACGACTCTCAAGGATAGCGACTCCTTGTGTAAGCTCGGTATGTCATGCAAATGCTACCGTCGACACGGGTCACGGGCTAACACTCGTCTCAGATGTCTCACCCCAGCGCGCCTCTTTCTTCGGACGCATCAAGAAGCATCTCGCATGAGGGGTCTTGCTCAATAGCGCTACACGACGTTACGATACTTAGCGAGAACGGACGCGCAAGGTAGTCTTTATGGGCTACTGAGACCGCGTGGGAGTTGGTCTTGTTTCATCTTTTGGGGTTGCATTCTTAGTAAACGAACGATACCTTTGCTCTTATCTATTAGTCTAAAAGACCCCGGCAAATCCGGAATGGCTATTCTATTTCATTCCCCCAAAGCTCATGCTCTAGCTGCACGCTCTATGGCTCCTAAGGAATAACCGATGAAAGTATTTGCATTATGACCAGTAGATGTCGATGATTCGATCTAGTGTATGAAACAATCAACAACTCAACATATAAAACTAGTGCCGTTGGCCATCATGCAGTATTCTGTATGAGAATCCTTGTTCAATGTCCAATCAGCTCGTTTGGAACCGACACATCGCTAAGCTCTGAACGTGAGAAAAGTCTGAGCCCGTGACAGCAGAACTGTCCCCTCGCTTGTCAGGCTTGAAACCCAACGCAGACGTGTTTCATTCGTTTTGCAAACACCAAATGTATTCTCTGCAGTTCATCTCGCACATCAGACATCTCTACAAACTTTCAGGGGGCCCCGTTCTTGGCACCACACCAGATGGGTTGCGTGAATGGGCCTGGATTTCCTTGCGGTGCACCTCCGCTCGCTCCCTGGGCTAGCTCCTCCCATGGTGTTATGGCCGTGCATTGTATATAGAGATGGAGACTCGGCCCAACTGCCGGGTGTATGTGTTGTGGGCCTGTTGTCTGATAGTCGCAGAGCACGACTCTTGCGTTTCCTTGGTGTCTTCACGTGCCTCGAATGACTGCCAAGGCCGTTCCGATTCTTCCGCACATGAGTCCGGTCACCAGCTTGACAATAAAACGACCACATATGAGTATGACGTCGATCTTTCAACGGTAAGAGAAGCACGCAATAGCAAACACTAGGTCATGGTCACTACAACAGATGCAATGGCTAATTGTCAACTATTGGACTAACCTGCCGTAGAGCTTCGCGTAAGTCTTGCAACCGTCAATCGGCAATTCACCCCGGACCAGCTGGGAAGCTCGCCTAGAGGCGTGGAGAATGTCCGTGCCGTTCTCACAGGGCATCAAGACGCCCGTGTCGGCCCAATCTATACGGCTTTGCGCTCTGCGAGCTCTCGCGTCAAGGGGGCTGGAGATGGAGTACAAGCGGATGGCTGGCTGGGTAGCAGTAAGATTTCTTTGCAATGCAACGGCTATCCGCACGGGAAATCGTGTGATATCGAGATTTGCAGGTGCCACAGGCTCCACGACTGCGACCGTAACCCGCTCTCTTCTGATCCGGCCCGTGGGTCTGTTGACCTGCTGATGGATCTTTTGTGCCGCTGGCCCGGCTGACAGGAATATTGGGGAGTGGCATTGATGCTCTCGCTCGGCACAGAGCGCGCAAGCGATGACATCGCGGCGGTGAAGTCGACGCGCCTTGCGCCTCAAGCCCACCCGGGGAACAGGGGGTTCAGTGACCAGGGGAGGGACCCCGGTCCAGGGGTGAATGTGACAGGTCATGTACGAGCAGCTTTGCCCCCAGCATGTGAGGCGGGTTTTTTGGTCAACGCGGCAATGATGCGTCGCTTACCTCAGTCGGGCAGCCACTCTTTAGACTTTGACACTCCGCACGTCTTCTGCCGCGTGACCAAGGCAGTGTTCGAACACTGATTCGTGACTGTATCCGCTTCAATAGAGATCGACTGGCACGGCGCCCTTCAGACTGGAGCAACAGGGGGCTTATGCAGCATTACCTGAGGAGCCCCGGGCATGGTGATCAACTTCGAAAGCCGTCGTGAATGGACATTGGTCCGTCTTACATGATTCGAGCTTCAACAGATCAACAGCGAAAGGTACGTGGTAGAGAGATGATGCAGAAAATCAAACGCTTCGTTATTTATTAATGAGATTAAATGGTCCGACAAGACATGACGCCCGCCGCGGGCGCATTAGTTATACTCATGGGAA